TCTTTCCCCTCAGGACATAGTTTTATAATAGTGAAAGGAATTGCAAATCAAACAGAAGTCAAAGTGAGATTAGCTCGCTATTTGGACTAAGCTCACAAATGGCCACAAGCCAGGCATTGATTCATTTCCTGGTTTTCTTCCTTGTAGCTCCGTAGTGACGTGGTTCCCAAGACTGCTGAGAACTTCAGGGCCCTTTGTACTGGTGAGAAGGGCTTTGGCTACAAGGGCTGCAGCTTCCACCGTATCATCCCTGGTTTCATGTGCCAGGTGAGGTTCTTCTAAAGACAGTGATGACGACTTTTTACCACTTTTTTCCACCTACTTTAAGTATGACAGAACGTATTCTTGGATCTAGGGTGGCGACTTCACCAACCACAACGGAACTGGTGGAAAGTCCATTTATGGCAACAAGTTTGCAGATGAGAACTTTACACTGAAGCACACTAAAGAAGGTGTCCTTTCAATGGCCAACGCTGGACCAAACACCAACGGGTCCCAGTTCTTCATCTGCACAGCAAAAACTGGATGGTGAGTACCGATACTCACTCCTTATTTTGTTAGTTGGGTAGCAAAGCAGCAAAGCATTTCATTGCATTGTAGACCATGTGTTGAAAGTGCATATGACAAATAAACCCGATCTTGAATCTTGAATCTTGAAAAAAGCTCATTGTACTGTAATGTGTAACGTAATCTTTTGGGAACTGGTATCAAAACGTTATTGGTACAGTATTGTAAATTTTTATCATTATCCAGCCCTAATTGGACCTCAGTCAGACTACGTCCACTGTAGCAATGTTAAATTTCTGAAAAAACTGACATGGCCTAAAACTGTGAGCTGCACTGCACCCTAGTGGATAATATGCTCAACTGTGCCAAACATGTGGCACAGATGAGTGTGCGGTGGCTAAGGCTTAGCATCTAACTTTTGTATAAAAGTTTGGTTTGACATTGGGGGGGCAGAAAAAAAATATCGCAGGTCAGAATGATAACTTATTTAACTTTGCAATGACGATGCTGCTTTGCTTTTTTTTTTTTTTTTTTTTTTTCCCCTCCCCCTCAGCCGATGTCAAAACCTGACTTGCGTCTGTTAGTTTAGACCAGCGATGGTTGGTCAGTTTGTCTGGTTTTAACAGTTGTTTGTGTTGCAGGCTTGATGGGAAACACGTAGTGTTTGGCACCGTGATCGAGGGCGATAACGTGGTGAAGAAGATGGAGGGATTGGGTTCCCAGAGTGGCAAAACCAACAGGAAAGTCTATATTGCCGACTGCGGGCAGCTCTGAGCACTTCACCCTTTTTCCCCTTGTCCTGTGGTCACACCCGTGATGGGGCCCCATCACCAATTTAACATTCCTATAGATGGAGATTGACCTGACACCACACCTTGTTCTGTTTTGATGTTGAAATTATGTTGCTGCATTCGTGACTTTGCCTCTTGAAGTTTCTTTTGCATTGACGTTTTTTCCACCAAGTCTTGACGGTTGCTTTTTTTTTTTTTTTTTCTTTAAAAGTCAAATGACAGACAATAAAACAGATGCCTTGACGTTTGAAATCTGATTGTAGGTTCTTTTGTCATGTTGAGGAGCGTTACGATTGCAGTCCGTAGTTTGTACAGAGAAACTTGATTACAGCTGATTATGATAGTTCATTTGGTCCGTTTGGTCAAAGTAGGGTTTGTTAAGGAGTGACTCGGAAAGATTGGTGGAGGGGGGGCAAAAATTTATTTATAACCATTTGTCCTGCACCATATGCAAACTGCTGTAAAAGTTCCAGATAGTACCTGAACGCACCTCCGCATGACAGTCGTAGCGTGTACACCTGGCTGTTGGTGGCTGTTATCAACGGCGCTCTACTCAAGCTGAAGTGTAGCTAACTAGTGCAAATTTCACATTTTTGAACTAGACCAAAGAAACAGGCCAACAGTTTTTAAGTTTTATTATACAATACTCTCCAACATGCAATAAACAGTTGAGCTTCCTATATTTTGTAGCGTTGTCTGTTGTTTTGCCAGTAACATGCTGTTGGGGGCCCTTGGCATGGAAACGTTTGTGAACCCCCTTGAGTAGAACAATGGAAATGGCTCAACTGCTGCAACGTTGGAAGGAAATTAGCTCTGCCGCTAGGTGTCTACTACTACGTGACTAAAACGCGGCTAAGGATCAGTGGTTAATACTGTCAATCAAGTAAAGTAAAACAAAGATAGGTTGCATATCCAGTGCTACTGTAGCAGTGGAGCTACAAAACAATACCAACTTCTACCAAAAGATGGCAGCCTTGCATCAAAAACCAACCCCGGAAATCAATCTTGGTTCGATGTTTGTCGAAGAACAGTGTCCAGGTACAGAATTCTTCGCAACATCTCTCACAGTATACGATATGGATTCACCTGGAAGTGTGGAGTCTTCCCTCTGAAGTTCGTTATTACAATCTGTTGAGAGAGGACGGGGTGGATTAGATGCGAGAAAAGTTCCGTCGTAATTCTTTCCCCCCTGCCTTGTATTTTATTTTCGTGGTATAAAACTGACTTCTCATATGCCAGAAATAATCGCAGTGATGTTGATTGAACTATTGTCCATGTCTCCTACTGTAACGGCGTGCTAATCTTCGCATGTCAAAAAACCTCTGAAGGAAAATTGTCAAATCTCAGTAACTTAACCGTTTCAGGGGAAGACCTCGAAATGATCCAAGACAGTGGTTCTCAAACGTCAACTTCTTCTAAACTTTTTCATGTCCGATACCGACATTGTAACTTGGAGTTATCTGCCAATACCGACATTAATCCAATGCCTTTTCTCCTCCAGCATGGCGTCACTAAGGCCATCGTGTCCCTTGTTTTGTTTTGTTTTTTGTAATTTTTTTTAAACCTGAAATTTTGACCAATATCGGACACCGATCTAGAGTATCAAATCGAGCCACGCCTACTGTATATCAAGAAAGTCCACTCTCGATTAGCTTATCGTTGCTATGGTACACGACCGGAGAACTGGGTTAGAAAAATTTAACTGTAACTCCCGTTTAACATAAGCACATATTCAAATACAAAAAATGAGAACAAAGGAATGCTAAGGACTTTGACTGACTTCAGAGTCTCCAGTCTGTAGTCTGGACTCTCTCTCAGTTCAGACAACGTCTTAACCGCTGATTCCTGAAGGTTGTTTCCTCCCAAGAGCAGCATCCTCAGATAGGAGGGGTTGGATTTAAGAGCTGTAGCCAGAGATGAACAGCTGACCTCGGACAAACTGCAGCTATTCAACCTGAAAAAAACACGTTATGGTTTGGTCAGTACAACCGTCAGTGAAGTTAAAGTTGACTGTGAGTATTTTTTTAACCATTCTGAGCCACGGCACATATACTCTATATCAGTGTTTCCCAAACACTTTTTCTGGGGTCCCATATCTTAAAAGTCACAAACCCTAGCGGCCCAAGTCGATAGACATTATTCGTAAACTCCTGGGAAACATGACGCGAGACGACCCCAAAAAAATGTATGCTTTCAGTACAACAAAATTGTAGCCGTTCATACATGTAAGACATGTATGTCTCGGAAAGTGCATGCGCTGCTGAGCCTTCTTGGTGACGGAGGTGATGTTTTCTGAACGGGAGATGTCGGCGGAGATGTGAACACCTAGAAACCCGAATGTTCGGACCCTCTTCACGCACTCGTCGTTGATGTGCTTCCTGAAGTCGATTATGATCTCTCTGGTCTTCTTGGTATTTAGAGAGTGGTTGTTCTCTGAAGACCAGGCTGCCAGCTTCAAGATCTCCTCCCTGTAGGCCACCTCGTCACCCCTGGAGATGAGTCCGTAAACTGTAATATTATCGGCGAACTTGATGATGTGGTTGTCGCTGTGGACCGGACTGCAGTCGTGGATGTAGAGACCGTACAGGAGGGGGTTCGGCACACAGCCCTGTACTGGTGCCCTGCTTCTGCTTCCTCTCCTTCCTCCGTCTGCGCTGCCTCTCAGACCCGACAACAATGCACGGAGAGCCCCGACGATCTCGCTATGTCGGCTGGGATGTTGTGTTCGTGGTGGAAGTCACGCGAAACAGGTATCTGGTGTAGGTTCCCGATGCCCAAAAGTGTTCGGCGGGTGTACTGGATGTTCGCAGTACAGGTAGCGAAAAAAAGAAAAATTAGCAATAGGAAAAGAAAGAGAAAGAGAAAAAAGCACTGAAAGTGAGAGCTGTAAGCCGCTGCAACCATGCGTGCCGCCATCTCTGAATGTTGCTCCATGTTGTGAGGGTCGCGACCCAGTCTTTGGGAAACAATGCTGTATATCATCAGCACAGCACACCGCCAAACCAACAAATCTCACAAAAAGTGTATAATGAAATATGATGATCATCTGTTTAGTTGAAGACAATGCTGATATACTGGCAGGAATTGAAGAAAGACACTCACAAAGATCTTCAACAACTCTGATTATCGACACAGATTATCGACATGTGACCATTTTTTGACAGTTGTGAACTCACTTCAGCGTCTCCAGTCGACATTCTGGACTTTGCACAAAACCACACAACTCTTTCACTCCTAAATCCTGGAGCGGGTTAGCATCCAGGTTCAGTTTCTTCAGATGGGAGGGGTTGGAGTCGAGAGCTGAGGCCAGAGAAGAACAGCTGATCTCTGACAGGCTGCACTCTTCCAAGCTAAATATAAAAGAGCACAGACAGACAGAAGTTGTTTATCTTTCAGCAGATAACTGTCAATTGATGGCGAAATGCTGGCAATGAACAGAAAAGTAAGCTTACCCTAAAGTCTCCAAACGACAGTCAGGACTCTGCAGATAACCGCACAACTCTTGGACTCCTGAATCCTGGAGCTCGTTACTTCCGAGATCCAGCGTTCTCAAATGGGACGGATTGGATCTCAGAGCTGAGGCCAGAGCAGAGCAGCTCAACTCTGACAATCTGCAACTGTTCAAACTGAATAAAAAAAACAGGTTAAGAAAAGATTAAGAAATAACGTCACCACCCGTCAACAATGTCTTATTTTCAAATGATCTTCAAACGTTACATTTATCATAAAATATAATACTTTTTTTTTCACCTGCCTGTTTCGGCTCGCGGTTCATAGGGTTGACACCCTGCTCTATGTTCAATTCTCTCCCAAATCATAGCAGCAGCGAACAAAAGAGCCAAATGGAGACGATTCGCTAGCAACGACCAGAAAAGTAACCTTACCCTAAAGTCTCCAAACGACAGTCAGGACTCTGCAGATAACCGCACAACTCTTGGACTCCTGAATCCTGGAGCTCGTTACTTCCGAGATCCAGCGTTCTCAAATGGGACGGATTGGATCTCAGAGCTGAGGCCAGAGCAGAGCAGCTCAACTCTGACAAACTACAAATCCTCATCCTAAAATTCAAAGAGAGGAAAGAAGAGAAGGTTATGGGCCTATTAAAGAGGAACGGGAGGACGATTACATAAAGTTCGCACCGCCAAACATTCTAACAACCACTGCTACTGTTATTATTAGTATTATTAATATTGTTAGTATTAAAACTCACAATAAAGTCTGCAGTTGACAGTGCGGTAACTGCAGGTAGCGACACAGCTCCTGGACTCCAGAATCCTGTAGTTTGTTGTGAATAAGGTTCAACTCTCTCAGGTAGAAAGGATTGCTTGAAAGAGCTGAGGCCAAATAGGAACAGCCAATCCCTGTAAACTTGCAGTCGTGTAACCTGTATAAAAAATAAAATATTTTTGGTGTTAAGTGTCAAATACACAAAGACAGTTAAAAAAAATAGACAAATAACAACAAAACTTTTTAGCTAGGTGTTTCCAAATGTTTTTCTCAGGACCCATGTCTTAAAAGTCACAAACATTCGCAACCCAAGTCAATAGACATTATTCGTAAACTCCTGGGAAACATGATGCGAGACGACCCAAAAAAAAAAAACTCTTGCGAACAATCTGAGGGTCACGACCCAGTCTTTGGGTAACAATGTTTTAGCTCACAGGCCAAAATGAGGTTCAAAATACAGTATAACGGGTGGTATTGTAGAATGCTGGGCGAAATAATGAATTTAAAAATGTACGAGAATGAACCTAAACCTTTGAAGATAATTTGGCACATTTGATGTCTGCTGCCATTTAGTGGCATCAACAGAAATTACAGTCGGTTCGTTGTGCTAATGCATGAAACAGAAGGATCGACATCAGCCCTTACCAGACCCTTGTACCAGTGTTTAGTGCATTGTTTCCCAAAGACTGGGTCGCGACCTTCAGGTGGATCGCAAGAGATTTGTTTTGGGTCGTCTCACATTATGTTTCCCAGGAGTTTGCGAATAATGTCTATTGACTTGGGACGCGAAGGTTTGTGACTTTTAAAATACGGGTCCCCAGATAAAAACGATTTCGATCGATTTCGAAAGTCCAGCTGGCCATATCTGGCCCACGGGCTGCAGATTGCCTAAAGTGTCTTTCATTTAGTCTTTCAAGTCAAAACCAAGAACATCAAGGAGAAATGAATGCGGTCAACTCACGACAGACTCTCCAGTCTACAGTTCTGACTCTCCAGTCCTGAACACAGCATCTTCACTCCCGAGTCTTTTATTTGGTTCAAATCCATTGTAAGTCCTCTCAGGTATGATGGGTGGGACTTCAGAGCAGTGGCTACAACTTCACAGTGAGTCTCTGAGAGTCGTAGACCCCGAAGTCTGTGATGAAGAGACCAGGTCTGACAAGTTAAAAAGGGGAATACAAAAGGGCACGTACCACAACGACGACGAACATTTAATTGAGAACCCCAGGGAATCAACCCGTCAACTTTTAAAGTCATTATTATTATTCTCACTGGACAATTCTGTGTGTAGACTTTTCTTAGTGTGGACCGTATTTTCCGTATTCTCCTATAAGTTGCACTTTTTTTTCATCCTCTAGCTTGGTTTGCGACTTATACTCAAGTCCATCCATCCATCCATTTTCATCCGATTATCTGTTACCGGGTCGCGGGGGCAGAAGTCTCCACGACCGCCACCCAGATCACACTGCACCGTACCAACCCCCCAAACCTTCCTGCAGGTGGTGAGTCCACTGGAAGGTACCAACCGCCCTAACTGGGATTCGATCTTGCCCAGACGGTAAACCCTGGGGTTCCACACCAACGACAGAGACATTGCCTCTGGGCCAAAGCGCCACTCTTATACTCAAGTGCGACTTATATTGAAATATATAGTTTTACATGTTTGTTATTTTCACACTGACAGCCTCTAGATGGCAGAGATGCGACCTCTACTCGGCAACCACTTATATATGTTTTTTCTTCGTCATTATGCTATTTATTTATTTATTTATTTTTGCTGGTGCGACTTATAGTCCGGAAAATACGGTACTTCTCGATTTTTTGCAAAAGTATCATTCTGTATTGATTGAATCGACAAAATCAATATTTAGGTGTGGACTCACAGAGCCTTCCTGCACTTCCTCACAGCAGGGATCAGTCTCCGTTGTCCTTCCTCTGTCGTTGTGTACCTTTTTGGGTTGAACTCATCCAGGATCTCCTCTGACATCTGCAGTGCGTAAGCCAGAGCTGAGCAGTGGATTTCGGAGTTTATCTTCTTTGACTTTTGCTTCGACTTTAAGAACCTCTGGATGTCCGCGTGCACGGATTGGTCGTTCATCTCCGTCAAACAGTGGACCATGTTGACGCTTCTGTCAGGCGAGCAAAGGTAGGCCTCCGTCTTTTTCAGCTCTTGTATTATAGTCTCGAAGATTTCTGGACTGTTCTGTGTCTGACCCGCTAGGCCCAGTAAAACTCTCTGGTTCGATTCCAGACATAGGCCATAAAGGAAGCGAACAAACAGATCCAGGTGACCAGATTTACTTTCGAGGGATTTAATGGTGGTTCGTCTGAGGACTTCAGTCAGTGAGAAGACACTAACTTTGGTGTTTCGTCTCGGATCCCAGGGTTCAAATTCTTCACCCAGGAAGTTCTCCAGTATCTCGGTCTTCTGCTCAACAGTGCAGTGGAACATGTAGACCGCAGCCAGAAACTCCTGGACGCTCAAATGGACGAAGCAGTAGACCGTGTTTTCGAAGATAACGCTCTCTCTTTTGAAAATAGCGGTACAAATCCCAGAGTAAACGGAAGCATCGGTTACATTTAAACCACACTCTTCGAGGTCTCTCTGGTAGAACATGATTCGACCCTTCTGCAAATGTTCAAAGGCCAGCCTCCCTAGCTTCAAGAGAAGGTCCCTGTCGGCCTCCTGCAGCTCTGGTGAACCCATCGGACGGTACTTGTTCTTCATTCTTCTTATCTGTATCTGCAGGAAGTATGAATACATGTCCGTAAGGGTCTTGGGAAGCTCTTCCCTCTGCTCTGAGGTCAACATGTGCTCCAGAACTGTGGCAGTGATCCAGCAGAAGACCGGGATTTGACACATGATGTAGAGACTCCTTGCTGCTCGGATGTGTGAGATGATTGTTCCGGCGGGCTCTTTATCTCCAAATCTTTTCCTGAAGTACATCTCCTTATGGACATCGGTGAACCCTCGTACCTCCGTCACCCTGTCCACGCATGTGCGTGAGATCCGATTGGCTGCCGCAGGTCTGGTGGTGATCCAGACGAGAGCGGAGGGAAGCAGGTTTCCTCGGATGAGGTTTGTCAGCAGCACACTGACAGACGCCGTTTGTTCGACATCCTCCACGACCTGGTTATCGACGAAGTCCAACGAGAGCGCGCTTTCATCCAGACCATCGAAGATGAATAAACATTTGCAGATGGCAAGTTTCCCCGCTGTCATTTTCTGTAATGTTGGATGGAAATCGTGGAGCAGTTTGAGGAGACTGTACGGCCGATCCCTGATCAGGTTCAGCTCTCTGAAGGACAGCAAACAAAGAAGACCGACGTCTTGGTTCTCGGAACCCTCCGCCCAGTCCAGAGCGAACTTGTGCACCGAGAACGTTTTGCCAACGCCAGCGACACCGTTTGTCAGGACAACTCTAATGTTCCCCTGCTGGTCAGTTAGGGCTTTGAAGATGTCGGAGCACTTGATGGGCGTGTCATCGAAAATCCTGGTTTGGAACGTCGCCTCCAGCTGCCACACCTCATGCTGCGGGTTGATTTCTTCACTCTGTCTCTCTGTGATGAAGAGCTCGGTGAAGATCCTCTTGAGGCAGGTTTTGCTCTCTCTTTCGTCGGCTCCTTCAGTCACACTTTCGCATCGACTCTTCAGACTGCACTTATGCTCATCTAAAACCTCCTGGAGACCAAAATCTGTTGAAGGACAAGTGACAAAATAACAAAAATACACAATAAATTAGGGGTGTGCATCAGTAAGAATCTGGCGATACGGTACGAATCGCAACGCAGGGGCAGTGATACAATATACTGCGATATAGTGCGTTACTATAGGCAGAACGAAGAAAGATAAGAAAAAGAAAATGAACCAACACCAGGAATATTTGACTGGGAATTGATGAGAAAAAAGATCAATACCGTGCTGCGAAATATCGATATGGAATTGTGAAACGAAATATTGCGATATTTTAGTGTATCAATATTTTCGAACACCCCTAAGAATAAATCATGCTAATATTTGGCACTGAAATGTCAGCGTCTGTCCAGCCATCGTTAGTTCGTGTATCGTATACCTTTTTCTGATACGTCCATGTTGGCACTTGACTCACCTGTGTGCCCACATGTTTTTGAAGTTTTTTTGACAACTGTGCCAACAACTAATTAAAATATTGGAAATCCCAGCTTCCCAAATTCACCTTCGACTTTTTTACCATATGTACAAAGTTCGGGGAGACAAGGGGTAAACGATAGGGGTAGAAATGAGAGATACGATCAGGCCTCATTCTGACCGAATGCCGGTGCCCAAGGTCCTGTTCTGGATCTGCATCCACACTGGGAACAAGAGGAGTCCAGTGTATTAGACTGTTGGCAGGATGAGCAGAGATCCTTGAAGTCATCCTGAGCCAAAGTGCAGCGGGACACCTGCTGGTCCACAGAGACACCAACCCTGTCTCTAGGGCAAAAAAGAAAACGAAAAGAAATAGAGGACCAAGAAGTTTTCATTGTGTCTAGAGTTCTTTGGCACCTTGGTCTGGCCCAGAAAGGTTTGAAGAAAAGGAGCAATGATGGTTCAGTATCAGACATACTTTTTGTGGGATGGTCTAGGTTCTTTCCTGAAGCTTAAGGGTTCCTCTTTGGACCGGTCACTCATAGCAGACACACAGCTCGGTACTGGTGACACTGATCTGTAGTTCAGACCTCTGTAAACACAGACGATAAAGTACAGGTTTTTCTTGTTTTTGTTTTTCTATGATCGTGTTTTGTGGGATCTGAACCAGACCAAAACTGATCAAACAAAAAATTGTATCAAAATGTCTTACTCTTTGTGGGATGGTCTAGGTTCTTTCCCGAAGCTTAATGGTTCCTCTTTGGACCGGTCACTCATAGCAGACACACAGCTCGGTACTGGTGACACTGATCTGTAGTTCTGACCTCTGTAAACACAGACGATAAAGTACGGCTTTTCCTCGTTTTTGATTTACTTTTTTCTGTGTTTTGTGGGATCTGAACCAGACCCAAAATGATCAAACAAAAAAAACTAATTTTCATGCAGAAACTTTAAACATATCGAAATTGTATCAAAATGTCTTACTCTTTGTGGGATGGTCTAAGTTCTTTCCCAAAGCTTAATGGTTCCTCTTTGGACCGGTCACTCATAGCAGACAAACAGCTCGGTACTGGTGACACTGATCTGTAGTTCGGACCTCTGTAAACACAGACGATAAAGTACAGGTTTTTCTTGTTTTTGTTTTTCTAGGTTCTGTGTTTTGTGGGATCTGAACCAGACCCAAACTGATCAAACAAAAAATTGTATCAAAATGTCTTACTCTTTGTGGGATGGCCATGGTTCTTTCCCGAAGCTTAATGGTTCCTTTTTGGACCGGTCACTCATGGCAGACACACAGCTCGGTACTGGTGACACTGATCTGTAGTTCGGACCTCTGTAAACACAGACGATAAAGTACAGGTTTTTCTTGTTTTTGTTTTTCTATAATCGTGTTTTGTGGGATCTGAACCAGACCGAAACTGATCAAACAAAAAATTGTATCAAAATGTCTTTCTCTTTGTGGGATGGCCATGGTTCTTTCCCGAAGCTTAAGGGTTCCTCTTTGGACCGGTCACTCATAGCAGACACACAGCTCGGTACTGGTGACACTGATCTGTAGTTCTGACCTCTGTAAACACAGACGATAAAGTACGGCTTTTCCTCGTTTTTGATTTACTTTTTTCTGTGTTTTGTGGGATCTGAACCAGACCCAAATGGCTCAGACAAAAAAAATGTATCAAAATGTCTTACTCTTTGTGGGATGGTCTAGGTTCTTTCCCGAAGCTTAATGGTTCCTCTTTGGACCGGTCACTCATGGCAGACACACAGCTCGGTACTGGTGACCCTGCTCTTCCTTCTACACAAGTATTCATCTTAAATACAGACAGTAAGTCTGTGAAGACACATACCACTACTGTTCACTCCATTTATTTGGTAAATTTCAGGGTGATTACTTATCAGACTGATTTAGATTCCGTAGAGCAAATTCAAAAATAATGATGGAATCTTCATAAAAAAAAAAAACCCAACTATATACTACAAATAAATCCTTGATCACTTTTATTACAAATGATTGTACTGAAGAAGCTCAGACATAAATGGAGGGATCAGAGATGTTATCAATCTATACACAAATACAAATAACTTGATAAAAAAATTAGATGTTATGTTTGTTTTTTTATTTGTATTTTACGTCATCATAATGAGTCAAACTGAAATGAATGTAGTTGGAGGTACAGTACGTAGGTCCTCTTTACGCTATACATACTCCACTTTTTATTTGCGCATTCCAAAGTGGGATCAAGAAGGGAGCGGGAATGTGTATATGTCCGAGCCAGGATCACGGTCCGTGAACACAACGTCATCCCTAGAGAAGACTTTATGACTAACCGGTGTCAATCGTGGCGAAAAGTGGATCGGACCACGTTTTTTTTTTTTTTTTTTTTTTTTTTGTTGACGATAAGGTTATTTTACAGCAAAGTGTAGAACTAGCGCTAAAACACCTCAAAGTGTCATGAGAGCAAAGTTTGTGGTAAGTTAGCCTATACCAAAATGCTAGCATTCTAGCTAGCGCCGACATCAATTTAAGTTTAGTCTCTCCGGGACAAAAGTTGCAGACGGGATAACGGATAACATTTATTTTTGAATAGTATTATATTGTTTTTATACTATGTGTTTTGTGTTCGGGAAGAGCCAAAATGGCAAAAAAAACCCAAACAAAACAACAACAAAAACCAAACAAACAAACCGTGTTTTTATAATTCTTTCACCGTGGGTTAATGCAATTGTTAACGTAATGTAGTGGAATTTAGTCAGGCGATATCCGCGGCTCCTCAAATTGGGATAAAGGACCGGTTTCTGTCAAAAGAGCACGTATCGAGGATACGTCAACAACAAGGATAAAACTTGAAATAAAACGACCAGGTATTATCGTTAAATACTGTACTTACATTTGTCGTGCGTCACGCAGCTGAACTCACCGAGAAAATAAGATGAAAGAGACCAAAATAAAATAAAATGCAGATTTAGCGGTGGCGGAGAAATGTTCAGTAAATGCAGGAGGGATTTGGGTGTTATTGCTGGGAGGAAAAGGAAATAAAATGTCCAAAATCGTGCCGAAATGAGCTCCACCCCCCACCCCCATAGTAAGGAATTACACGGCAGAGAATGAAAGGATGGGTCTTGAAAAAAGAAATGCAACTGTACGGGATCGTTATCGGCCAAAATAAACACGTAGGAAGGCTAGTGACGCCGAAGGCATGGTCTTTATTTGTTTCATAAATAGCACACAAATGCATTCATAAATATAGAAACACAATTAAACTGTCAATAGAGTCATATTTAACAATAATAATAATAAAAAAATAATGTAAATAAAATACAAACACAGGTGTCTTCACACTAACTCTAAGGAGCCCGGTCTGGGTGATGAAACTATCAGGACAGATCAGTGTAGTTGGGAAACCTTCACTTTACTAATCCACACTGAGAAAGAAATTAAATTAATCAAAATTGCTCCTCCCTCTTTCGGCCCCCTCGCCCCCGTGACCTAACACGGGAGAGAAGAACCTCCTCCTCTAGATACCTGGAACTTCAGAAGGTCCTCCATGTCGTCATTTTAGTGACAATGCTACAAACTAAACTAAAAGTCGAAGTATCGGACTCAGCAGCCGCTCTCTGCCGTTCTCCTCTTTTTCCCAGAATGCCTAGTCTTCCTCTGGCCCTGCCTGGGACGGGGCAGACACACCCCCTGGGCCTTGTTTTTGCCCGGCTCCGTGACACAGGCTAGCCCTACGTCGCAGTTGCAGCGTCCCAGGTTCCTCCTCTGTTTGGTGAAGCCCCGAGGAAGACAGGCCTCGCCCTCCACGGGGATCCTCTGGCATCGTTTCCCGGTCAGATAGCGGGCGCAGCACAGTCCAGCTGCGCAGTCGCCGGAACGTACGCAGCTAGCCATCTCTGGGGCTGAAACAAAAAAATAATTTTTTTTAGGACTGTGTTTAATCATAGGACAGTGCCCTCTAGGGGGGAGTGGTGTTTGACTTCCATCCACTCACCTTTGGTCTTGTTGAAGCTGTCTGTGTCTCTGTGTCTGTCCGTGTCTTTGTCCATCAGTCTGTCCTGTGAGGACGACCTTCTCTGGGCTCTGTTACTGCAGCTTCCTTTCTGAAGGAAAGAGGAGCGAAATGGATGTAATTTAAAGGTGCACTGTACCTTTTAGAGAGCTGTATTTTATTTTTAAGTAAGTCTGCCTGGACCTGCAACTTAAATTTTCAAAGCACCTCATAGATCATAAATATATACAGTACGTGCTGCATACCATCCATGGCCACAAGAGGGCACTCTCTACATTCTGGAAAACCAAACTAAGTGACTGAAACGGTGAAAAATAAGAGACCATTGAGATGTCCTTAAAAACGTAGAGAAAAAACTTCCAAACTTCCGAAGTGACTTCCATGAGGAAAATCAAATTAATATATATATATATATATATCCATCCATCCATCCATCCATCCATTCATCCATCCATCCGCTTATCTGTTACCGGGGCGCGGGGGCAGCCGCCGCCACCCAAAACACATTGCACCGC